TTATTTTTAGTGATTTATTTTGAATTTATTTATTAAGGCAATGTAGAATATCATTTTAATGTCTAAAATAAAATATCTTTATAGAAAACGTAATGAATATAATATTATTCTTTATTTTGAATAAAATAATTATTTTTTAATATTTAACAAAATATATTATATAATATATTAAATATCTAAAATATGTTTAATATCTAAAATAATTACCAGCAACCTGCGATTATTTCACATCATGCAGCAGTTTCACGTTCAATGTGGACAGACCAGCTGCTTTTTATTCTATTTCAGATCCTGACATTTCCAATCGATGCCTTGGAAACATATTCCGCACTGCAGCAATTATCTCTGCTATAAAACAGCAGCTTTCTTTAGTGGCTTTGCTGTCCCTCATATCTAAACAGAGCAGTGGCGCTGTTCTGCAATGGCTGCCGGAACGAATGAAGACGTTCGAGGACATCTGAGGACACGAGCAGTGTGTGCTACACAGAATGTAGAGCAAGCAGGAGAAACGGAGATGAAAAAGGAGTGGGAGAGAAATGTGTTTCACTGTGTCTCATGCAAAAGAGGCGCATCAGTGAGATGCACCGAGGAGCCGCTGACACACAGAGAGTCTGCCGTTACCTTACGTGACCCGCGGCTTCTGAGCAAAACTAATCTAAATCTGAGTGAGCTGTATGCAGCCAGACAGCGGCGTCTCAATCTATACAGTAAGACCAGCTACAGTCGACACCGACTGCCGCACAGGATTCATAAGAACAGCTGCATGCAAAAAAATGATGAAGCTGTCTAATATGACAGTGACTAATGCACATCTCAGTATTTAATGACGGCATGCCATTAGCTTTGTAATACAGACCTCAGATGAGGAAAGTAGTATCAGTGGATTCAAATCAATGGCTTAATAGCAACAATACAGTGATTAAATCTATGATGTATGACCAAATATAAAACTTAAAATTACTTGCATTAAATATTCCTGCAGGTTTCAAGAAGAGTGCGATCCAACAGCTAAATATTGTGATTTAAACCTAAAAAATAAAACCTGGAAATTAAATGTGATTTAATAAGAACATTACAGGGAAGTTACAGAACTGAGAAATGTTTTTTTTTTTTGACATATTCTGTTGTGTTGCAGTAAATGCAGAATAATTTCACAACACCAGCCTCAAGCTTCCTCCGTCTCTCCAGATCGCTTTAGCCACAGGAAACTGATTCTTGAGACGCGGTGATGATGATGATAATTCATAATATCATTACCAATCAGATTGGATTTTCTTGAAAAATATTCTATATCTGACCCTGGAGCACAAAACCAGTCATAAGGGTCAATTTTTTGAAATTGAGAAGTATGCATCATCTGAAAGCTGAATAAATAATCTTTCCATTGATGTATGGTTTGTGAGGATCGGACAATATTTGAAAATCTGGAATCTGAGGGTGCAAAAAAATCTAAATATTGAGAAAATCATCTTTAAAGTTGTTCAAATGAAGTTCTTAGCAATGCATATTACTAATCAAACATTAAGTTTTGATACATTTACGGTAGGACATTTACAAAATATCTTCATGGAACATGATCTTTACTTAATATCCTAATGATTTTTGGCATAAAAGAGAAATGTATAATTGTGACCCATACAATGTATTGTTGGCTATTGCTACAAATATCCCCCAGCGACTCAACACTGCTTTTGTGCTGCAGGGACACAAATATTTGTTTATTTTTTCTAAATGTAGCATATTAATGATATCGATGATAAGTATGTTTATTAATATGGTAACACTTTATGTATAATGCATTGTATAGTTTCATTAATAATCACTGTAACCAAAGTTAAAATGCAAAATAATATTTGCAGATTTCTTCTGAAACTGGTTGTACATTGTGTTTAAATGCATTATACCTTCTAAATGTGTAACAATAAGTGTTATCATGTATTATAAATGTGTTTATATTTTTTCATACAATGCATTATAAGAAATAATTCATGCATTAAACAAAGTTTATCGCATTATATATAAAAGCTTCAAGTATATTTTTTAATGTTATTATAACATATAAAAAGTAATGGAAAAATATCTTTTGGTCTATTGAAACCTCTTGCGAGAATATTTGGCATGACTTTTTTATCTCGTATTAGGTTGCAGTGAAGACCAACACATTTTGTGAGAAGCAGGAATGAAAATGAAAAAAAGAATTGATTTTTGCACTGGCGCATCATGTTTTGATCCAGGACTCAGTGATCAGTGACTGACTGACTGTACGGGCCCCTCGGAGAGTCTAATGACCCCAAGAATAAGCCTTCACTGTGTCTGTCTGGCTAACTAGGCCACGCACACGGATGCTATTACCTCCAATAACCTCATAAACAACAGACATTTCTCTCAGAAGCTGTGACGCGGCCCAACCCTGAATAAACCACCATGAACCCAGGCCAGAGGTGAACAAAATGTCCCACCATTTGGAGAAAAACATGCCATTACTGTTACTGGAGGCTGCAGACCGTGATGCGAAGTCTGACTCGTTTCTCTGAATCACTTCATTTCAAACAGCCAGTTCAAAAACACGATTCACTGTCTGTTTGTGAACACAAAGGTCCCTAGAATCTCATTGCGGGCTCTAAAATGTTCATATAAAGTCATTTGCAGATGCATATCAATATATTATATTAACACTATTAATATAGGTATTTATTGAAATCGCATATGTGTCAGCTGCAGCATCACTCAGCTCATGAAACAAAGTATCAGAAATTCTCAAGCTAAGTATAACTTAATTTACATACATTTGCAATGCTAAAATAATTTCATTCTCAATGTTTTTCCATGTGTTTAGAAAAGGCTATATATATATATATACATATGTGTGTGTTTCAGATGTGTGCATCAGATACAGTTCTCAAGCATATTCCAGTAGGTTTTATGTGTGCATTGTTTAAAGTATTAAAGTCGCCCCGACAGTGATTCAGATTCAATCCTCGGATTCAAATACTCGATTCACTCAAAATCACTATGAGTCGAGCATGTCTGATGTTCAGTTCAACGAATCACTGAGCTGCTGACTCCATGAACCGATGAACCGATTCCGTTTAGTCATTCGTAAGCGATGTTGTGATTAAAATGATCCAACTCCGAAAAAAATGATTCATCATGATGACAACTTGCATGTTTCATCTTGCAACACGACGAAGCAGTGAACCTGTGGCATGTGAAAGATAACCCAGCTAACAGGGAACGTTCTCAAAACATTAGCACTAGGGCTGAAACCATTAGTCGACACTATCAATAAAAAATTGCTGTTGAATAGTCATATGACCTCATGTAAGAGCCTGCAATAACGCGGTTTGACCAGCGGTGAGAAAAGAGCAGTTAAGAAAGCATCTGATCATAGCGATGTGGATAAGTTTGCACCAGCTCTGCAATCGACTCTCCAGTGACGTCACGTTTATTTATACAGCGCTTTATACAATAGATTGATTTAAAGCACGCAGCTTTACATTATTAAACACGAAAAATCAGTGTCAATCGCACGCATTCAGTCAGAATACAACTTGATTTTCTGCTATAAAGCAGCTGTCCAGTGTGGAGCTAGTTAATGATAGAATCTTTTTATTAATGAATGCACAAATAAATAAAAATCATTCCACCAAAGTGAAAGTTTGCATAGATTAAAGCTTGATCTAGCTCAGGGCTGTTTTGATGATCATAACCCTATACGGTGTTTTAAGAGAGCTAATGTTGTGAATAAAATAATTTATGAAAATAAAATGTCTTAGCACTTTATTTTATTCCATGTATGACTTACAGAAGGAGATGTTAGGCTCATTCAGTCGGTCAGTTATTTCTTCACACAGTTCATTAAATGGTGAATGAGAATGTCTCATTTTGTGCGCCAAATATTTGTATTGTAAAAAATAATAAACTCAGTATTTTACCTAATTGTAAAAGCCTACTGATTAACTGGCGAAATAATCAATGATTAGTCGATTAATTGTTGCAATAATCTCAAAATAATCATTGTTGCAGCCCTAACATTTGTATACATCATTCATGGAACGTTTTTCTGAAACATTTCAGCTGGGCGTTCATCTAACTTTAACGTTACGCTATTTCTGAATGTCTTTGAATGTTTAAAAAGGTTTTATACGCGAACGTTAGAGTAAACGTTAAGGGAACGTTCTATTTTATAATTTTGCAAACATTAGGGAATGCTTTTTTAAAAAGTTAGACTAAAATGTTTCAGGAAAACGTTCAATGAAAAATCTCTGAATAATGTACTAAGGTTTTGGAGGAACTAACTTTGAGATAAACTTGCCAGAACGTTAGATTAAGTTCTAAACATTTAGTTTTAATGACAGTAGCTTAGTACTTGTACATGCAAAAATTGACCATTTTATAAAAGCATCCACAAGATTAGTTTTCCCTTCTATTTACATCAAATTTAAACATTCAACATAACATTCTTTACTACACTCTAAAAAATGCTGGGTTGTTTTAACCCAACTTTGGGTCAAATATGGACTAACCCAACCATTGGGTTACATTTTTCAATTACATTTTTAACCTAAAAGTTGGGTTAGTCCATATTTGACCCAAAGTTGGGTTAAAACAACCCAGCATTTTTTAGAGTGTATCATTTTGCAAAAATTTTTACAAAAAACTGGACGTTTTGAACGTTCAATGAGAACATTAGCTAAACGCTCTTAGAACATATTTTTGTTAGCTGGTAAGATTAGTGATTTTATTTGCACGACTGTTACTTCTAAGTCACAGTGACATTAGTTAAGGGCAGGTCTGTTATTGTTTATAACAGCTGCGTTACGTTCGTTACGCGTTACATGTAGCTTCTGCGTTACACCGCGGCTTAAAAGACTCGCTTGGCTGATGCAGTTCAATGCGAGTCAAGGAAACAGAGCTTCTTATGCATGCATACGCTGCTAAACACACCCAAAGCTCGCGGCACGGATGTTTGCAGTATGCGAGAGTTGATGAGAACTTACCCAGAATGTGAGATTGCCACATAAGCGCTTCATCGCTTTTAAACGGAGCTCTTCCTTTTGCCGAGAGGAGGATGTGGCTGCTTTTCTCTGCTGCGCTTCTGTTCCTGCATGCAACTCAAACACACGCTCATACGCGCACGCACGGACGAAACGGAGCGCACTGCATCGACGGCCAGCGGATAAACTGCCCGGTTCCTGAGCCTCCTCCCCCGGGGAGCGCGTGTGACGTCCGTTTCCACTACCCTCTCCCCCTCGGTACAGACAGACAGACAGACAGCATGAGGCTGGCATGGCTCGAGAGGCCGCCCACTCTGTGTGCGTTTCTGGCACGGCCGCACCTATGCACGCGTCTACTTCTATTAGAATTTAGCATTTTTTTGTAATGCACCAATGCATCCACAAAATGAGTCCCCCCTCCTATTTACCTAACATTTTGGGAGTTCTATCATTATGGGAAAGCTACTTTTGAATGTTTTCTGAAGCATATATTTACATTTACAGAAAGTTAGACCAACGTCCAACTAAAATGTTTCAGAAGAGTTTTGCATGACTGATGGATGGGCTAATTCACATTTTGAGAATGTTATTAAAGGCCAAATAACTTTTGACGTTACTGGAAGAACGTTTGATGCTTCAGGAGGTCAGGCATGCAAACATGTTCATTTTTCTAGGATGGAAAAGGCTTTACTTTGCCTTTTATTGATTTTAAAGTGAGCAAATGCTATTGTGACTGTCCCCACCTCTATCTGCTCTCTGGGTTTATGAAGCCTTTTTTCTTGTGGAGCCATTGAACGATTAACGTAGGTGATTTTAGATTCTACGATGCTTGCGTACATTGCAGACAAAACCACACACACACATTTGCATTATTATAGCAGATAGGAAGAGAACACTACTTACTAGACATTCATTTGCATTTATGCCTTCAGGCACGTACATAGCATCATATTCATACAGGGTCTTTGTTGTCACGGATCTGTCAGTGTTGAAGAGCATTTAAGGAAAGGCCTGTGTGTATACAGTATGTATATAAGACCTATGGTTCTGTCATGTTCACAGAGGATCCGTCAATAAACAGCAGAACTCATGATTAAAGGTAAAGCTCGTGAGCCAGCAGAGAGTGTAACCGATTGTGATGAATGAGATCTCATTACACACATTAAAACCCGTTCCTCACGCTGGAACAGCTCATCTGCTCCAGAGCCAAGAGAAGATGAGCACAGACAGGCCTGCGCGCCTTAGAGATCCCAGTGTTCACTACCTCCATTATTCTTCCTTAATGCCCAAAACATGCTTTCTGCTCTTGTATGTCTTTAGCAGAACTGAACTAAGTGAAGGGCAGCTGAAACATTAGACATCTCGTCTGCTCTGGAGCAATACTGCTGGTGGATCTGCTGCTCTCTAAACCCTGAGAACATGAAGCTGACTGAAGCACACTACAGCAACACTAACGCATCTGTCTCAAAGGCAAACACTACACAGTCTAGAGGGAACTTTAGCTCATTGTGACTCAGCACAGCTGGACAAAAGCATTAATGTCTTCTGTTTCTCGTATAAACAATGCTGTGATGTTTTTGGATGTTGTGTGCCCTCTAGTGCTTTCATAAAGAACTTACAGTTTTTCCAAATGAACCATTTCTCGAAACAGTTTGTACAAACAGCAACCTGCAAAAAGCCTGTCAAAATACTTAGTTCTTCTCTCAGAATGAAGAGATAGATAGATAGATAGATAGATAGATAGATAGATAGATAGATAGATAGATAGATAGATTAACAGATAGACGGATGGATGGATGGATGGATGGATCAACAGATTGATGCAAACTAAAAAAGAATGGATGCATAAATGGATGGATAAACAGATGGCTAGATGAATGGATAAACAAATAGATGGATGGATGACATAGCAGATAGATGGATGGATGATGGATGATAAATGGTTGGATAGATGGATGGATGGATCAAAAGATAGATAGACGAATAGATAGATAGATAGATAGATAGATAGAAGTCAATTCCGTTTCAAGACATCTTTTATCTAAGATAGATAGATGGATGGATGGATGGATGGATAGATTAACAGATAGACAGATGGATGGATGGATAGATGGATAGATTAACAGATAGACAGATGGATGGATGGATGGATGGATAGATTAACAGATAGACAGATGGATGGATGGATGGATGGATGGATGGATCAACAGATTGATGCAAACTAAAAAAGAATGGATGCATAAATGGATGGATAAACAGATGGCTAGATGAATGGACAAACAAATAGATGGATGGATGACATAGCAGATAGATGGATGGATGATGGATGATAAATGGTTGGATAGATGGATGGATGGATCAAAAGATAGATAGACGAATGGATAGATAGATAGATAGATAGATAGATAGATAGATAGATAGATAGATAGATAGATAGATAGATAGATAGATAGATAGATAGATAGAAGTGAATTTAGACATCAAAACATTGCTGTGTACTATATGCAAATTGATATTCTTTTTGAGATTTTCTAAAGATTAACAGTGTTAATAAATTTGT